GTCCAAGTTCTCCGATCACACTAAACTTTGGGTAAGAGCGTCCACGCCCGAGGATAGGCCGGTGATCCAGGCTGACCAGGCTAGGCTTAGAAAGTGGGCAGATAAAAACCTGATGTCCTTTGTGAGTGCTGTCGTCTTGTTCTTCTAGGGCACAAAAATAAGATGTTCTATCTTCGCCTTCCCTTGTCTTGGTGTCAGTCTCGCCTGCCACGACTCGATAGGAGAAATGAAAGGGAAACGCCACACGAGAGTGATGCTCACTTAGTTTTAATTATGAGCATAAGTAATGCCCGCTCACAAGGAGTGTACCTTAGCTGGCCACCAGTTGTCAGTCCCTCAGCTGGCTCTCCCCACAAGTTCCCGGTCAGTCCTGCAATGAATACTCACCAGGGTGGGCGTTTGCAAACCTGCCCCGCTTATCACCTCACAGCAACAAAGTCCTTGACACACATGCGGACAGAGCTGCAATTGTCCAGTAGAATCAGCTATCCGCCTTCAAATGGGCTGGGTACGCCAAATGCTTGCCACTTCAATAATAAATTCTCTGGTGACTCTCTCTCATCATCTGTGCCTCCACGCAGGGCTGTTTGCAGTCTCTGGCATCTAAAGCCTTGGCTTCTCTTCCCATTTCTGGGGGATCATCTGGTGGAACTGCCAGTCCTTTATACAATGTTTCCACCCGACTGTTAACAATCCCCAGTTATGAGCCGCCATCCAGGAAGACTTAATTGGCAATTAAGCCTTTTGGTATCCCAATCTCATTGAACCCAGCGCCACTGCCAGCAAGTAATTAATACTTCACCACAGTCCACAGCGGGCATTTAGCATCCTGAGTGGGCTAACAATCAATAGATAGCCCGGTTCCACGGGTCGAACTGAAAGTTCTCAACAAGTGGGGACTTTGCCCAGATGGTCCCGTAACAGGAACAACGTCTCCCTGTTACAACTTTCAATACAGAAAAATGCAAGATACTCCACCTCAGCATGCAGGGAACCCTGCAGCACACTTATAGGCTCAGCAGTGCTTCGCTCACTAGCACCATGCCCAAAAGATTTGGGGGTCATAACTGACCACAAGATGAACATGAGCCACCAGGGTGATGTCATAGCTGGTAAAGCAAACAAAACTCTGGCTTGCATCCATAGATGCTTCTCAAGCAAATCTTTAAAAACTTCTTTACTGTCCCAGCCCCCAAGGCCTGTCTCCACCAGGTTTCTGGTGCTAAATTCATTTTGAGGGTTTTGCTTTTCTTGGAAAGGAGGGAATGGAAAGGACTCCTAGCACATAACACCCTCCTGGCATCTGGCATGCACCTGGATTTGGCCCCTGAACAAAGGACGCCTCTGTTGTCCTGGCTTTTGGTGAATGTCCAAAAGGGAGGTGTTATTGGGTCTGCTCAAGTTGGTGACTCTATCCTTGAGTTCCCAGCCTGCTGCTACACTGCTCAGTCATGGGTAAGTACCCATAGAAAGCCTCACAGGCCTGCCCTAACATGTAGTGGCAGTAGTGACCCTCCCCATCTTACCTCTTCCATCCTGATGAGGAAGGAGAAGTCAATGAAGTCCCGAGGGCAGCTGGGGTCCAGGCTGTGTTGGTTTATCCTCACCCTATGCAGGATGAAATCATGTAGGGCCTTGTAGTGGTTACAAGCCCAAATGTGTGGGCCAGGTAAGTACTGCAGGATACTTGGAAACATCTCAAGGAGCTGGCGATGAGGAATCATTTCTGCCAGAGCCCAGCCCTTGCTTTCACTCACTATGACCTTGGAAGAGGCTAAGAGCCGTGGGACTCTTCAGCCTGGAAAAGTGCAGGCTCAGGGGGGACCTGGTGGCTGCGTATAAGTATATATGGGGTGTACATCAGGATCTGGGGGAACACCTGTTCATTGGAGCGCCCCAAGAGAAGACAAGGTCAAATGGTCACAAACTCCTCCAAGACCATTTCAGGATGGACACAAGGAAGAACTTCTTTACTGTCCGAGCCCCCAAGGCCTGGAATAGACTGCTGCCAGAGGTGGTGCAAGCGCCTACTCTGGACTCCTGTAGGAGACATTTGGACATTTATCTTGCTGGGATCCTTTGACCCCAGCTGACTTCCTGCCCCTGGGGCAGGGGGATGGACTTGATGATCTTCCAAAGTCCCTTCCAGTCGTAATGTCTATGAAATCTATGTTCCCTGAGTTTGTTTTTGCTCTCCCATTGAAGTTCTCCCCTTTATCCATGAGGGCTTCCCTTGTGGAGTCTGTCACACAGAACCACGACCCACCTCAAGCCCGCTTTCAACATGAACACAGGGCCATGCTTTTCTCTTCTCTGTGTTGGGAGTCAACGTGAATAGGAAGGAAGAAGAGTCAGATGCTGCAGTGACCGGCGAGATGCACTTACTGCAGGCAGGCAAGGTAAGCATGGCTACAGCCTGAGCTGGGTGAGTTCATCATATAAGATGCTGACTTTTGGTGAGGCTACACCGTGCAGAAGCAATGGACATTGGCCTCCAGAATCACTAGTCCCTTTATATCCCAGTAGTAAAGTGGGGTCTAACAGCACCATGCCCTGAGCCTCCAGCAGAGGCGGCTGTGTTGCAAAGATCTGACCCTTGAAATGGACAAATCAAAGCATGGAAGATGCCTGCTTCATGTGACCCGATTGACTGTTGGGGAGCTACATCGGAGGGGGCTGAGCCAGGGTCAGCAGAACTCCAATGCACGTGTTGAAATCAGCTGAATGTATGCAAGGAAAGGAAGGCACAGAGCCAGAGAGCCCCGCGTGCCAGGGGCCTGTCCTGTTGTTTGGCCAGTGGCTTGGGAAAGGGCAGAATTAGCTGCTTAAGCATAATCCTTCCTAATGATGGAACCTCCTCCCCATTATCAGATAATTAATGTGTACCTCGAAAGCTATCTCTGTGGCATGTGATAAAGACCTAGAGCAAAACTAGGAATTCAGAAGAGCTCAGAGCTTACGGTAAGATTTCAGACCAAGTTAAGTAATTTTTTCTCAGGAAAAAATAATGGGCTTGGCTCCCCACCTACCC